GCGCCTTTAAGAAGTGCAGCAATGCCAGAGGAATGTGGACAAGCCATGGATGTTCCTGAAACCATCGCGAATTCACTGCTCAATCCGATATCTGGATATATCGAAACTGTATAACTATTAGGAATCCAGGATGCTAAGACTAATGACCCTGGTGCCATTATGTCTGGCTTCAAGATTCCTTGATAGCTCGGTGAAGGACCTCGTGATGTGTAAGTTGCAACGACGGGTGCTGGTGTTGATCTCACAAATGTCTGTTGGAAGCTAATGCTGGCAACAGGATTGGCACCAGATTTAGCATAACTGATCACAGCTGCACCATCTTCAGGACTGATAACAACACCAGGATATGCAAATTCTTCTCTCTGGAAAATTCTTGGATCGTCAGAGATGTATATAGCAGCAGGGGCAGAGGATTCAGCAATGGTATTTATTTGATCAAGGAAATGTCCATTTTCACATATGATGATTCCATAATTGAAGCTGGATAAGGAAGTTGAATTGCAACTCGATATTGACTCGTTGTAGATAAGTGGGAACTCGTTGACAAGGGCGCTAACAGGGTACATTGACCATCCAGTGATCACTTGTCCATTTCCAAGAGTCAATTTTCCTGAGAGGACGCGATCAATAGAGCCAGCAGCAGTAGTCAAGAGCCAGGGGATTCCATTGTGGAGTATTCCAGGAGTGACACCTGCATTTCCTGCTGAAGCGGAAACAACATATGATGATTCCATAATTGAAGCTGGATAGGGAAGTTGAATTGCAACTCGATATTGACTCGTTGTAGATAAGTGGGAACTCGTTGACAAGGGCGCTAACAGGGTACATTGACCATCCAGTGATCACTTGTCCATTTCCAAGAGTCAATTTTCCAGAAAGGACACGATCAATAGAGCCAGCAGCAGTAGTCAAGAGCCAGGGGATTCCATTGTGGAGTATTCCAGGAGTGACACCTGCATTTCCTGCTGAAGCGGAAACAAGAACGCCTTTCTCCATAGCACCAAATGAAGCTATGGCAATAGGGTCTTCATACAATGGAACATTATCAAATCCCATAGAGATGGATATCACATCGACACCATCAGCAACAGCTTGATCCATACCAGCAAGCACATCAGAAGCGAAGAGTCCTTCATCAAAAATTACCTTATACATAGCAAGTCTAGCACGTGGAGCGACTCCTCTTGCTGTGCCAGTTGCATAGCCAAAAAATGAAGCACCCTCGACATAGTTTCCACCAACAGTTGATGAAGTATGCGTGCCATGACCTTGTGTATCCCTGCCTGAATTCATACTAATTGTAATATTAGGATTTGCAGCTTTAACTCCTTTGTTGAAGTATCGTACACCAATTAACTTATTGTTACACATTGAAGCATTAAATTCTTGTCCAGGCTCACATATACCCTTCCACCTTGACGGAATTTCAGTCATCCCATCATCCTTATAACTCTGACTCTCTGGCCATACTCCAGTATCAATGACACCAACAATCACATCCTCGCCATAATGAGAAGCTGGCCATAGTCCTGACTCAGGATTCAGACCGAGAAACTCAAACGTATGAGTAGTGTCAAGAGTGACCTTTTTATCAGCATAAGCCGACACAAAACCAGGAAACTTTTCAAGAACTTGCAGTTCATCCTCAGACATAACAGCACTAAATCCATGAAATGCATTGTCATACGAATAAAGAAGCCTAGTCGGCTTGGTAGAACTTGCACTTGCTGTATCTTTCAAGTTGACAGTTTCAAGAATTGAAGAGTGCCATTGCTCATGACTAGTAAAAGCCTTAGGCATGAATGACTTATCCATATGGATAATGTAAGTGGTTCTTTTTCCTGAGGCTGAATTAGCTAAGAGGAACAATAAGAACAATAAGAATCCCATTTTTGGATTCACTTTTTTTGCTTCAAAACTCAATTTCTTGTGTTACTTTCTTTATCTGTTCTAGTATGCACATATATATAACTAATGACATGGTGCATTGTTAAGCTTTTGGGGTTTATTCTTAAGTTGGATTAGACCATTTTGTTTTGTTTTATTTGTATAGGTATCTTATTGGCATAATCCTCCATCTAATCATTGTTCACTTTCTTGGCCGGTTTATTTTGTTATTTCCAAGATAGTTATGTTCCTTTTATCTTTACTAGTTCTTGAAATGTCTCCATAAAACTTCAAGCATATGCTAACAAGATATATAATTTGACAATTGGCTAATAAAGAACCTTTCAATTTGTACCTATTGCTATTTTAATGCTTTTTTTGTCTGGAAATATTGCAAGGGATGTTGTCCATTATGCTAATAAAAATGGACCCAAGTAGAAAACTTATGGGATGTGACATTCCTTTGTAATTCACTATTTGTCAATCAAGTGGAAAGTCAACATCAAAAGGCTTTGTTGAATGCAATTTGGAGCCAAACCAAAACTATAATGAGGAAGTTATGAACGAGTACAAAGGGTAAAGTTAAACCTTTTCACAATAAATCACCAAATTTTGATTTTGGTCCATATAATATTTTTCTAAACATATTTAACCTTACGTGAATTGTTGATTGTAAATTTTCTTACGGCTAGTTACTTCATATTCGAAGCTAACATTTGTTCTCGCAATAGTCTAAATATAACTCTTTTTCCTATATAAATGGTCGAAGAATAAACGGTTCATATAATTGAAGGTTAAATGTACTTAATCATATATCAGAAGAACCACTAAATTCGTAGTCTAAAAATTCCTGCTCAAATTATTTTTGTTTATGGCCACTAGTAAGCTCCTTTAATTCTTACTCTGGCAATGATACTACTAGGTACTAGCTCTAGCTAGTTTCTATTCTATGTAACAATTTGGGCCTTTCTTTAGGAAAAAAGGAAAAGTGAAAAGAAGGAACAAAGCAGCAAAATGATTCACTTTGCATGTGTTGTTTCATCAAGAGAGAGAGATGCAAAAGAATTTTTTTTGTGTTGTAGATATGTAAGAACAAGAAAGAATGTTCGAGACTGAGATCTCTATTTAAGTTTTGATCCCTTCAATTTCGTTTTGTATATTTGTTTTTATAAAATAGCATAGTGCGAATGTATTACTTTTTCAATTCTAGGAATTTAAACATGAGATCTCTAATGAATAGAAGAATAACGTTTATCTAACCGCACTCTCGATTTATTCTTTATAATATTCTTTACTCCCTCCATTTTCTTCTCTCTTTTGACAAAACCAAACAGTGGAAGAGAATTTTCCCATTCACATTTTCACATGCAGAACTGTTCAGAAAGTCAAGATAGGACTGTTTGGTTGGAGGCGCCCCTAAATGTTTGGTCATGTATTACACCAAATTAAAGTTGTTGAAAACAAATAAACATCTTAAATAACTTATAAAACATAACGACTATTTTCTACATCATGACAAAACTAGAAAACATAATTAAATTGATGGGTCCAAAATCTCAAATCTCTAGCTGTCAAAAGGATCATCTATAGTAGCTGCCAAATACAAAGGACACCTACCTCATTTCCTCCTTTTGTAATTTGTAGCATACTCAAGACTTTAGTGCTCGTAGGGACACTCCTAGTGGCGGAGCCACCTTTGTTCAAGGAGAATTAATTAGCATTTCATTTGCGGAAATATTATATCGGGGTGGCCAGTGGTTTGGGCTTGGGACTTCCATGTTGGAGGTCTCAAATTCGAAACCCCTTGCCAGCAAAAGCAAGGGGTTTGCTTCTGGGTCGAGCTCGTTGCACCGGGCTTGCCTAATGCGGGTTACCTATCCTATGTGATTTGCGAGTTATTGCATAGGAGCGGAGGTTTTACCCTGTGCGCACCTAAAGGGTAGCGGCTGCGGGTTTCCCTTGTTAAGTAATATTTTAAATTCTCTTAGTAAAAAAGTTCCAGCTAAGATGATTGAGAAAGATTCAACAAATTTGAACCACTCACATCACACTATAATAGCGTAAAGGCCGGGACGGTCCGCCATTACAGTAGGCATCCCATGAAACATTTCAATCAGACCCTACCTCAGAACCCAAATCACCAAAAAGAACATTTGTGTTAACCTTCGTCTGATTAAGGAAAAATCAACTGTTTTGGTCGTACATTTTGACTAATTTCAGTTGTTAATTGTTCAAGAATCTTCTTTTTATTGAATGTAGCTTTCTGTCGGTGACATTATCTGTCCACAAGAAAATGTCTCCATCTGATGTCCCTCCCAAAAAGATGTACCTTTTCTTTTCTAATCCTGGTAAAATCCATATAATGCAGGTTATTTAGTGCACTTTTTAAGTTACCACATTAGGATTACGGTAGACAGTTAGTAGGTTATTTTAACACGATGTAGTAATAAAAGGATATTGTCAGTGCACAAAAGTTAAACTCGTTTGTGGTAAATGCAATACAATAAAATCATGTCCTTTCACTGGTAAAATAACAGTTATGTTCAAAGCAAGCCTGAAGGCAATTACATACACTAATAACAAGGGCTATGCTACAAAACCTATCAAGACTGCTGAATTAACTGAAAATGCAGAAGTTAAGTGAATGATATTTACATGTGCTAGCTCCAAATGAATGACAGACGAAACAACGGGGTTGGAATTGACCTTGTTGTTGGTGCTGCTAATGCTCATCATCGGTTTCTTGTTTCTTGACCAAAGACCAGTTGGTTTGCACACTACTTTCATATCCACTGCTATCACCTGATTCAATTACACGCTTGTCCATTAACCTCTCTTTAGCACCATCACGATATAAACGACCACCATGCTCCCTTGAAGCCCGTCGCTCCTGTATCAATGCCACAGTTATTCAGAGGAAGTGAATGAAAACCAAGTAAGGGTATTGATAGGAAACTGATGAGATGATCCTTGTACTAATTAACACAAGCACTATGCAAAAATATAACAGTGTTGGTCCATGATGTAATAAAATAGACATCACAACTTTGATCAGATCTCACCAGCACATTACAACATATTCAAAGCAGTCCATGTGCTTGGTAGTTGGTAATAGGGTACGTAAGGAGGTTCATTAATGTGATCTAATTTATGGTGTAACAAACATAATTCCAACAGGATATATCTTCATGTCATATCATGCATTAAGTGATCATTTAGAAAAGAGATACTCGTGACTACATTTTAGCTAACAGCGCAATTACATCCAAATTAAGTCTTAGATTCAGTTCACATCATTCCATTACCCCAAATGCATTCTTAGCGGTCGACTCTCGTGACTAATCAATGTGACATTAAATTCAAGGGCCTGGAGGAAAACAAGAGCTTACATCACGAAAGGGAAAGTCATCAGCTTCAAGCATGTGTATTACTTGTCCCATTTTTGGCCTCTTCTGAGCATTGGGGTCAACACAGCGTAATGCTACCAAAAGAACACGTTTCAGGGCTCTTGAAGAAGGCTTCTCAGGTATCTTGGGATCCACAACGCCCTCGGCATTCCGGTTTGAAACCATTATTTTAAGCCAATCAACCAGAGTTACCTGTGAGCCGGATTGACTAAGCAGAGTCAGAACAAAACTGGAATAAATATTAAAGAGGTTTCCTGAAACTAGGAACTAACATTGATCATATGAGACAAACCTCTCCAGGAGGACGGCTGTAATCCACCGGATTCCTTCCAGAAATGATTTCCATAATAAGAATTCCAAAACTATACACATCACTTCTCTCATTCAACATGCCAGTGCTAGCATATTCCGGAGCAACGTAACTGATAAAAAAGGGGTCATCAGCAATATATTTTCCAAGAGCAACTCAATATTAGCAACAAAACAATGATAGTGGGTTTTGAAATGTCAAGCACTAACCCGAATGTTCCCATAACCCGAGTAGTAATGTAGCTCTTCTCAGCACCCAAAAGCTTTGCCAAGCCAAAGTCTGACACTTTCGGACTCCACTGCTTATCAAGCAAAATATTGCTTGATTTGATGTCACGGTGAACAACCTTGGGTTCAAGGCCCTCATGAAGATAGGTTAACCTGTAAGACTCACCAAGCATTAGTTACTCCCTTTAACACAAAGTACAAAAACAATTACCGCTCAAAAAAAAAAGGTTAACAAAAAAAATTAGCAGTTGTATACCCTTTAGCTGTTCCAAGAATGATATCCATTCTAATTTCCCATGTAAGAGGACTGCAAGGCCCTACATCTCCATGGAGCCACTGTTCCAAGTTCCCATTGTCCACATACTCATACACAAGCATCCTGAAATAGCATATTGACCGTATTGAGTAATTCATCCCAACTCAAGCTCAAAAGCAGAATCTCCAGAATAATTACAGGTCAAAAATATCCTAAAAGACAATCACCACCATAATACTATAGCTGACAGTATTAAGCTGCAGACAACTGAAACTGAATTACCTGTGAGCACCCTCAGCACAGTAACCAAGTAACCTCACCAAATTCTTGTGCCGAACCCGACCAATTGCTTCAACTTCAACCTTAAACTCCCTCTCTGCTTGACCCCTGAAAATAAAACTACATATATAAACCTGTAGACAGAACAAAAGGTACAGCTTTTTTCATAAACTAATCCTATAATTACTGCTTTCTTTTCTCTATTCCCTTCTTCAAACTGCTTTACTATGCTTTTTAAACCGAGGGTCTATCAGAAAAAGCCTCTCTATCTCTACAAGGTAGGAGAAAAATTCGTGTATACTCTACCCTCCCCAGACCCCACTTGTGGAATTACACTGGGTATGCTGTTGTTGTTAATCCTATTATGTAAGTAATTAAGCCCCAAAACCCAAAAGATACCACATTTAACACATGAACAACGCCATATTACTTAAAAGCATACTTTACATTAATGACATGTCAAGACACATGCAAGAATCATAAACATATTTGAAACATTATGTTATCAATATATAACCAATTCACAGAAA